GAATAAATTTTTAATTTAAATAATTAACTAAAATAATCAGTTATTTCTTTTATAAATACTATGTTACAAGTAGAAGCATTAGAAGAAAGTCGACAAGACTCGTTTAAAAGTTGTTGTAATTACTCAATTAAAATTCATTCATTCATGAATGAAATCATAAAATAAGAGAATATAAAAATAATCTTGATCATTCCACTTTTACGTGAAAACTTCAAGTGCTTCTAATCATATGCTTTCATTCCTAGAATAAGAAAAATGTTTCATGGAGAATAGAATTTAATAAATTAAATATATTACATTTTGAAATAAAGTTATCGATAAATTATCTATTATCTATGAATCTTCTATAGTGCCACAAAAATAGGTTAGATAACAGAAGAACAAATTTATTTCACGGCTCTTTTATAATTTAGTATACTTTTAGAGACATTTGACTTTTTGACCACATCCTCTATCTTGAAAACGTCAATATGAGAAATTTACTAAAATTTATTCCAAGCACCTTTTCACTTAAAATATAGTAGAATGTACATATTTGCGAACAGATGCGTATACGCCTTTTAAATTTATATTTTTGATAAATTTTATTTCAGTATAATTTGGATTAATTTGTTATTGGAGATAAAAATATTCAATAATCAAAATTTACAAATAAAGCTGTATTACGACGAAGCTATAAAATAGATTAAAAGGCCTAATTCTGCCGTAAAATAGACTAACGTTACGTAGGGGTATGTTACGTAGCACTTCTCATACAAATTGGTACTAAATACTTTCAAAATGCAACGTTGTTGCATTGTTGAGTGTAGTCATGCGTTCAGTAAGTTAATAACATGTATTAGGTATTTATTAAAAATAATAAGTTGAGATCTAGTCAAAAATATGTAAAAAACTGCCAGAAAAGTAAACCTTTAATATATATATAAATATTTCAAGAAAGGAAAAAAATATTCAATATTCCAGACAAATTCATCAAAATGGTAAGGAACCACAAAAAATATTAAATAATGGAATGAGCAAGGTTATGAATGAAAAAGAAGTAATAATTGCAGTAGAAAGTGTAAAGTACTAGGGTACCTTCGGACTGAAAACAAACACAATCTTCAAACATTCATATAAAACTGTTAATTGTAGGTAGGTCAAACCTGTTGGGCTGGTATCACGAAGTGTCAAACGAAATTACAAAATTTAGGGCTGAAATAAAAAATTAGAAAAAAATAAGTAAAAATTGTTAATGTACAAATTGAAGAAAAATTAATGAATTATATTTGAATTGCACTATTATTTTGCATGGTACTAATGTGTATTATCTGAAAGCTATTGATAAATAATATACATATTGATATTAATAAACGACTATGTAAATTGGCACTTGCTAATTTATTGATGACACTAATTAAAATGTTGTTATATCACTTAAAGGATAATGCAGCCAAGACATCAATTATAAAAAAGTTAAATCATATGTATGCTAGTTAATGCAGTTTAATGTTTTTGATATGCCACACAAAAAATAAGTTGATAATATGCGAATACTTTTCATAGTATTATAGTAATTATTCAAGTAACGTTAATATTGTATTTTTAATAAAAGGGTTTTACTTGGAAAATTTTGAAATAAACTAGAATACCATTGTAATTGCTAATTATATATTATAGTAAGATCCTAATAAATTCTTCCAAACTCAGTTTCAATAAATAAATAAAAATTGTCTTAAAAAATCAGACAAAACCTATTGCTAGATTTGCGTGTCTCCAGAATGAAGTATTACTACTACTTCAATAAAAAAATTAAATTATTAAACAATTATAATAAATCTAAAACAATGTATGATTCAATCGAAATTCTACCTGTAGATAGATATAGCATTCTTTTCATAATCTGGTAGAACAGGTTGTCGAGTAATGTACATATACACATGAACACATTTATATATGTATACAGAACGTATACAGGAACATATATTCGAAATAAAATATTCTGCATATATACATAATGTATATATATATATATATATATATATATATATATATGTGTGTGTGTGTGTGTGTAATTATATATATGCACATACACATAACTAGCACAAAGCGTAAATTCATTCATTATTTAGATTGTGATCCAAAGTTATTTAAGTTTGTATTCAATTTCCCACTAATTTATTAAATTTAAATTGAATTACTTAAAATTCGCAATGAAACTTTATATATAGATTAGTATAAGTTTATATATAGTTTGTAATCATGTTGTAATCCATTTATTATATTGTTTGTTCGAAGTTGAAGATTCCTTCTACATTAATCCGTTTAATATTCAAAAAGTTGAGGTCACGCAAATTAATCGCAGGAAATTAATGTTCAAGGATAAGCAGCACATTTAATAAGACTGTACAATGGAGAATATTCGTGCGATTTTAGATACGTTCACGACCGTTCTGTTCCGTTCCGATCTTGTATACATACATCATAGTTTTATGAGGGCCTTTTTATAAATTCATGATTAATATATTTCAAATTTATGTTTTTATATTCCCAGTTAATTAAAAACTAATAAAAATGTGGAACGGACAAAACCCAAAATAATATTACGCTCAATAAAGGCCTTGTCGAAGTATCTCAAAGTGTTTGAACATTCAATAAAAAATGTTAAAGAAAAATACATTATATATTATGGTTAAGCGCACGGACTCGTGTGAACAGAGCCGTGAGTTCGAACCCGCTCTGGACAACTTCACATCGTGCAGTAGCGATGTCTATTTTTACTTGAAAATATAGATCAAAAATATGTTTCCACTTAAAAATTCGAACATTTTCGTGCACTACGGTAATATCGTAATATCTCACACTACTTTTCCCTGAATCGAGTTGGAGTTTAATTCAGCTCACGGGCAGTACTATATATATATATATATATATATATATATATATATATATATATATATATATAATTCGCAAAAAAAATAAGGTGTACTAACTTATAAATCGAGATAATTTCCATATTATAAACTAGGAGTTTTTATCTCAAGGCAAGTTGCAAAAACTTCCTGATGTATGTATATAATAGACTTACTTAACGAATAACAATGAAAATTTAGCAACTTTTAAAATGGTGACGTTACAATTTTAAAATGTTAACGCTGTCCATTATTCCATTTAGTCCATTTCGTATGCCTTTAATATTTCAGGGTATCCGGTAAGACCTTGAACTCTATTGAACAAAGTTATCTAAATTGTTTCTTTAGCAGTTAATGAGAAAGAAATGGTCCAGCCAATTTTTACCAAAAACTAATCAGCACGATTCCCAACTGATATCTTTCATATGGTTTTTGAATTTTCAAAATCGGTCTTCGACTTTTGGCTAAAACGAGGAAAAAAATTTCACACCTTTCTTCTAATTATAAAAAACCGGCTCGGCCGATGATCTCGCAAAACTTCAAGCAGCTTTTAAAGTTTTGAAATCAGCGCAGACGTTTGTGAGAAAATGTCGACAAAAAGAAAAAAGGGCCACAAACCAAAGTCAAATGATTCAGAATGACTGAAAATGACGAGAACAAGCAAATCGAATTTTCTAGCAAATACAAACTTATTTTCAGTTATAGTTTATTTAAAGTTTAAGATTGTAGGAAATATTACAGATATGAAAAGACAAGTGTTGGATTTCGACGTGTTAACCAATCGAAAGATAACGTGTTACGGTCTAGATGTCACAAAGCCATTTTACACAATGACTACTGGCTAGTAATAAAACTTAAGTTCATAATTGATTATCGACAAACGTTCAAAATAGAGTAATCTTATTGTTTTTGCTAATGCTTTAACAAATTGAAAATATTATGGTTAATATATTAGTTAAGTAATAAA